GGAGCCTTTGGGTAATGTGAGTTTCCTTCGGTGATGTTTGAAGAAAAGGGAGACCAATTCAGAGAGACCAGTTCAGATGTTGCCCATACCTCGATTTCTTTGCGCGCCCTAAGGATTGTTATCTTTTCTCGGAGAGGTTATCGACCTTGGTATTCGTATGTTGTTCGCTGTTTGTCAGGATGAGCGACGTGAACCTGTTTTACGAGCCGTGGTTGGGATAGCAAACAAATCAGGGCTAGCAGAAAGAAACTCAACCACACCCCAACCAAAGGACGTAACGGGGACCCAGGATGAACCCGTCCCTGGTTGATTGGGCTGTGGTTCGGTTTAAAGACAATGCTTTGGGAGGCGCTTTATGAATCCGCCAGGTTGATTTGCTGGGCACTACATGGCCCGTATCCTTGTTCATTACCTTAAAGGGCATCACAAGGGCATGGCAGTGAGAATTGATCAAAAGTCCAGAACCTGGGTGTTTCTCCAAAGAGGTGACCCCTGTTCAGGTCTGTTCACAAACAATGTGCAATTTTTGAGAAGTCCCCACGTAGCGCAAGCAAAAAGAAAGGTGCCCCCGAATCTGTGGTTTTCCTTTTGCTTGTGCCCTCAAACAAATACCTGGAGTCTCCATGACCCTTAAAAAGGAAGGGATCATTACCCAAAATTAAGGGGTCATGGACCCATTTTTTAAGGGTCATGGAGACTCTAGGTACAACCCATTTCCGGGCTCAGCATCTTGCCCAAGGCCTGCCGCCTGCCAGCGCCAGAGAGTGAGAGATTGCCTTGCTGCGCCGCCGCGAAGGGTTGATATTTTGGGGGACGCGTTCAACGGGTTCCAACAAATGGCCACGGGTCAACACCGATGGTACCATTTTGGGGTAGGTGCACCACCCATTTTAGTTGATTTTAGTGGGGATTGGGATGTTCACTGGGGGTCAAGGGTTTTGACCCATAGCCAAATGAGTTTCAGCTTGCTCCAAGGCACCAGCATGTACCCCACTTTCCAGCAATAGAAGCAGACTTTTGGGGCTTCCCCAAACGGAAAGTAGGCAGAACATGCGCTCCTATTGAGCTTTCAAGAGGGATGGTATGCACAGCACCCATTTGCAATTGCACCCATTGAACGCGTCACAAAGCGGCTAACCGGGCTGCTCCGATCTAAGGGGGCCGAGTCACAGGAAAAATCGGTGGGTCCTTTCATATCCTGGAGATCAAACGTCGAAAGCGAGCGGGTCTGTATAGCACCCGTAGCCTAGGCTCGCCCTTGTACAGTCGAGCCGGACAAAAAGACTTGTGTCAGGAGCGATCGGCACCTCCTACAGGCCTGTATTTGAAGATTTGTTCAGAGTCTTTTTCACTGCTGGAGTAAAGTGATATGGGGGATGCCTTTATTTTTGACTCCCTGATTTGGGACAAACTTGCTACAGGCTGGGACTTGCTATAGCTTGAATAAATTTGAAGAATCAAAGGCCAGTCGGTTCCGTGTCCTTTGATCTCCCTCTCCCACCCCATCTCTTTTCTTACCTCTTAAAAACACAACTTTTCTCAACTTTTTGGGTAACATGGGCTATATGTCTGTAAAAGATGAGAACTTCCCCAGGGCGCAGGGAGTTTCAAGGGGTAAGTTTTGTGCAGTATGACAATCCCGATTCGAAGCTCGCCCCGCGAGGCCGCGAAGTTCTTCGCGGAGCAGATGCTTCGACAGGTCCTCAGGCGACTTTTTCGTGAGATCGATGCTTCGGGCCGCGAATTTTTCCGCGTGACTCGCCAGGGTTCCATTCAGCAAAGGAAGTTCTCAAAGCTTCCATAACAACCACTTCATATCCTATAGTTGTCAAGGGCCCCCCATAGGGGCCAGAGTCTATTAGGGGCCAATAGGTTTCCTTTTGGGGACTATTTCCAGGGGGTCCCCTCTTCGGGGGGACCCTGACAACCATAGAAATGCGAACATTTGTCCTGTTCGCAAAGTTCTTCCATTAAGATCCACAGAAAAGGAGAGTGCACAAATGTGGGATGTAACTGTACCTCTTTGTTTGTGGCTTAAATGGAAAGCAAAAGGACACCCAAAATTCCTCTGTTTTTTTTTGAGGGGAGGGTCGTCCCATTCAATGTCATGCCTATATAATAAATATATGTATATACAGATGTGAACACAGATCCCAAACTCTATCCCTGAAGTTTTTCTGACCTGCAGGTTGCGGGTGTGATTACGTGTAGGCAAGTTGCCGGTTCCCTTTTGGAACCTGCCGCCTTGTGCCACCTTCTCAAGGGGAGCCCACAATTGGCCCCTAAGTTTCGGGAAATCACGGAAACAGAGCTGAGGCATCAGTAGACATCGTGCCAACCGTTCATCGGAATTATGGTAAAGCCCAGGTTATTCCCTGTGCTTTGAGAGCAAGTTTTCACAGTTTTTAGGCCCCACACGCCCGAAACTGGGTCTCCAAGCCAAAATGATTCCAAAACTTGAGGGAAGCCTCAATATGAAACAACCTGTTGAACAGGTGTTTAGGTCCCAGAGACGGGCCATGAATCCAAGGGCCTCATGCTTATTTACGCCCAACGATGCTCAACCAGGCAAGGGGGTTCATTGATGTTCTACCTCCCCCCGAAAACGATAAGAAACAAAAAGAGAGAAAAAAAAAAACATAAACAAATAAGGTCGGATATCCCCAACAACGCTGGTACCCTTCCAGAGCCCTACACCGGAGCTCCAAACCACTCTGAAGCCTACATGGGCAGAGACGCCTGAGGTTTCAGCTGAGGAAGAAAGGACAATCATCAACCACGCCTGTGCTCTGAACCCCCGGCAAAGCAAAAGAGCGACAAAGAAACAAACAAGCAAAACATCCGACACGCAAACATCAACAATAAAGGCGAAGGCAGGGAAAAAACATTAAAAACAAAACACAACATGTCGATCAAAGGTAGAAACATCTAGGGCCAGTGATTGCAATAAACAAAAATGGAGGCAGCAGCTGGGCTTCGACCTGGATCTGAACTCCACGCTGGGCGCTCATTTGATGCCAGGCATGGGGTTTCAACGCCACGTGGCCTAAGCCTCCGCGTTCTTTGGGAGGTCCACGTCTCATGTTCTGGCAGATATTTGTTCGGTTGGTATCAAAATTTGAAGCCGGGGGTTCAAACTTGAACGTAGCTTTTGGTAAAGGTGGGCCAGCCCATCACAAGTCATGGGCTTTCTTGGCAAAGGAACAAATATATGTTTGTTCTTCTCAACATCTTTGACTCGCAATAATGTGTGCTTCCTGTTTGGCTCTTTCTTTAAAGAAAGAAAGAGTCAATACTATAGTGTAGTGGTAAACATCAACATTAAACTTTTAGTTGAATCCACTTAAGTCAAATTGGGGCACCAAAGTGAAACAAACTATGCCCAATATGCCCTAGTGACGACTTTTGTTTGGTAGATGTCTTCATCATGCTACTTGACGCCTGCAACAAAAAGTCAACTTTTCGGGTCATCTGAGAGGTCAGCGAAACTGAAGCCGGAGCTTGGTGACAGACCCCTGCTTCCATTTGCTTGGTGGTTCTCAGTTATTCTTTTAGCTTTTTAGTGTTTAGTGGTAGTTTCCATTTAACCCACTAAAAGTTAAGCTTTTAGTGGGCCGCCTACCAGAGCCGAGCAAGCTGCATTTTGCTCCTGAAGCTCCGCGACTTCTTCGCCATGGAGCTTGCGCTTTTGGGTGCCCACCAGCCAAAGGGACTGGCGGAAGCTGAGGAGTCGCGTGGGCTGCTTCGTGGAATGAGCCGAGAGTCCCTTTAAGGGTTCAGGCCACTGGCCCCGACAGCGCGCCAGACGGCGTAATTACTTCGAAGAGCTGGCATACAAGCTGTGGCAGTCGGAGGTGTCCTAATCTGGCAGAATTGGGCTGGAGTCCAAGGCGAGTTTCTCAAAATGGTGGGCGCCCGATTGGTTGGTATTTAAAGGGAAACCGTTGATTGGAGCGTTTGGGTTTTAGGTTGCCGCTTTCTGTGAGTGGCCAAGGGTTCCCTCAAGAGTGTGAACATAGTCACATAGTGCTGGTCGGACGGGGATGAACCGCTTGGCTATCACAGAAGTAGCGACTTGCCACCGCTTTGGTCCTTCAACAGCATTGGGTAGTTTAAACAAGCAGTTGTTGCAGGGACGAGTTGTTGCTCGATTGGAAGATACATTTTCGCCTATGTTCCAAGGGCTCTCCCTGCAGCCATCCAACTGCGTGCGTTCGTGCGTTTTTAAGGTTGTGCTGAAGGGAAACCAAGAGGCAAACCACCATGTTTGGGGTTCCCTATTTTGACACATACCCCATTTTCAAAGGCTGAGTGTATATTTGACATTTTGGACCCTTTTGGGGTCTGGTTTGTCAGACTTATGCCGCAATGAGTAGCGAACCCGCCAATTAACTTCGGGTTAATACCAGGGGGCATGTCTCAAAACTGGGGGCCTTGACATTGCGACCCTCAAAACCAATCAACAGGAGGTTCCCGCCACAAGGCGCACATTGAGTTCATGCATTCACTTCACAGGTAATGACATGTCATCTTTCGCTAAGGAGCGAAAAGGAGCTGGACGAATGGTTAGACTGGCTGGTGGAGGACGGGCGACTCGCTTCGACTTGTTTCACGTGGCTGTCACAATCTGCGACACCCACTTTTCTTGCCGTATTTCTCACTATTTGAGCCTTGTTGTGCTATGGGCTTGCACCAGAATGTGGCTGCAAGTCCCTGCAAAGACGCGGGCGACCTCGCCTGGGGGTAAATGAGCTTACCATGATGTAGATTCCTTTTCTTGGTGGTCCTATAGTTCAGATTTGGAAAGATGAGTAAGTATCGCATAAACTTTCTCACGAGCCTTATGTTCAAAACATGGCCTTGCTGCACTTGTGTTCTCTGGTGGTTTCTCAAGAGACATGGATGAAAGATTTTCATGACTATTTCGACCTACGGGTGTGATGAGCCTGGAGGATGTATTTAGCCCAGGAGTTACTCTTGCTGCAAAATACCACTAGAAGCGGGCACTGATTATGTTGACCCGAATCAGCTCTCCCTCAGGTGTCCCCGTTCAGCCTTGGAAGTTTAGCCTCGGAAGAAGCACTCTCCCGAAAGACATCCGTAGAACACACACACACTTAACCGCGCACTTAAACACACACTTAAACACACGCTTAAGCACAAACACTAAGCTGACGCCAACAAAACAAGGTCTGGCATTTAATGAACCCAAGGGAAGTAACTGCGTAACCCTTGCTTCGGTATGTGCTTCAAGCAAGTACCATTCTATCATTCTTCTATATCCGAGTGTGGCACCCCCAGGAAGAAGCGTGAGGGCAAGCTTCATGAGGCCGACCCCCTCGTTTCTCCAAATAAGGCCTTTCGCAAAGGTAGTCATAGTCCTTGAGTTTAGTTTAGTTGAACATAAACCCCCGGCAAGTGAAATTGTCGTAGGGCACAATGTCCCACCCATAGGGTACTTTAGTTGAAACCAAGGCCCGACATGTGCGGATTCGATGACCTTACCCCTGTGTGGTTTGGATTGGTTTGGAGATTTGGACCCTCAATGAGAGAGAATGGTAAAGGTGCCCGGAGCACGCCATCTGCCTATTCTGTTGCGAGCTCACCTGACGAGCTCACCGAAACAGAGGGTCAGGTGCAGGGTTCCACTTTTTGACTACCCCAAGATGGACTTAAACTTAGGGGTTCTCCTTTGGGGGCAACGAACCACCCCTGGGTTTAAGTCTACCCTGAAAAAGTCAAAAAGTGGAGCCCTGGTCAGGTGATGTGATTGCGTAGGAAGTGGTGCTCGCGAGCGTGGACTTGGACGGTGATGGCGTCGTCAGCCAAGAGGCGGCGTTCT